ATGTATGGAACTACTGAAAATTACTTTAGATTCCTTTTCCTTATTCTGTAAATTCATTGATTGGAATATGAATGCTAATGGAAGTATGAATATTTTCACAGGACAATGATATAAATGGAACTTTAAAATTTTTTTAAGTGTTACAGTGATATTTCGTTGGCCTCCGTATTAGCGCACTGCGCCGAACGCGGATAACATGATGTTGTAGTCGCAATAGAGCAATTGAATCGAATAGACGTATTGTACCGTAGCGCATCGTATTGTATTTCAAACTTTTATATCGTATATTCCAATAAACATACGTCAGGTAATATAAGCTTTATTTACAATCAGTACAATCATATACTAATTATAGTTGTCTGGTTCAACAGGTTACTACAGAAGCTAACTACGGCCTACGTCTTTTAAACTTGGGCTGTAGTAGTATCTGCAGAAACTGCCATGGTTGCTGGGGTTATCATCTAATTTCTTCACGGGAACACGCACAAGCGTCAGTCCCAATTCGACAGTTGCACGAGCAACATTCGACCGAGCTCGAGAGTTGTACGAGCAACAGCGATAAGGGATCACGTTTCAAATGTGTACTGACGCAAGCCATTTCAGTACCATTCATTGTCCCGTAATCCACATGTAATAACAACAGATCGAATCCGTCAGAGGACTACTGCAAATTATTACACACGCCTATCGTATGCCACCCGTAATCAAAATTTCGGCGACAAACTTATGAAACCTTTATGAAGTTTTGAAGACGGTACGTATGACTTTCAAGTGACAGAGGAGGAAATTATTTGCAGCATATAAGTTACAATATTTTATAAGCCTCATTATTCTCTAAGTCTACTTTTTCGGAATTTATATAAATATCATTACAAGTATATTGTAGAATCATATAGATAAGTAGGATTTAAGTAAAATAAGTATCTAGGGGTACTTTTATTGAATCTGTACAAATATTATTATAAATATATTGTAAAATCATATATGGAAGTAGTACTTCAGGCAATTGTTGTTAAATTTATAGAAATACTATTGTAAATTGTATATTTTCGTACGATTTTTTCAATAAAAAACAGTCAAATCATGCATATGCGTTATTCGTTAATCCCGGCACTATCTCCACTCCTATTCCTAATATCAATTAACCAAAAAAGTAGTAAAAAATAGTATATTATAACAAAATAATTAATTCTAAAACTTTTAAGTTTTGGAAGTTCTGGAATTAGTTCCTGTTTCGCCACCACAGTAGTGGGGGCGCCACAAACTTGAAGGACCTCCTGCGGGGTTCTCTGACCCCCCTGTTTTTCCGCCATCTTGGATTTTGCAAAAAACGCGGGAAAAATTGGGATTGATGGGACATACTAGTGGCGCCGCCAAAAAAGTGGATGGCGAAAGTTGGAACTAAATCCAGAACTTCTTAGATAGTTCGCACAGTCGCCACCAGATGGCGCTGCTTAAGAAGTTTTAGAATTAGTTCCAACTTTCGCCACCCACTTTTTTGGGGGCGCCACCGTACTGCAGGGTTTTCCGCCATCTTGGATTTTGAAAAAGCGCGGGAAAAATACGGATTCACGGGACATACTAGTGGCGCCGCCAAAAAAGTGGATGGCGAAAGTTGGAACTAATTCTAAAACTTTTTAAGCAGCGCCATCTGGTGGCGACTGTGCGAACTATCTAAGAAGTTCTGGATTTAGTTCCAACTTTCGCCATCCACTTTTTTGGCGGCGCCACTAGTATGTCCCATGAATCCCAATTTTTCCCGCGTTTTTTGCAAAATCCAAGATGGCGGAAAAACCTGCAGTACGGTGGCGCCCCCACAAAAGATGGGTGGCGAAAGTGGGAACTAATTCTAAAACTTTTTAAGCAGCGCCATCTGGTGGCGACTGTGCGAACTATCTAAGAAGTTCTGGATTTAGTTCCAAGTTTCGCCACCCGCTTTTTTGGGGGCGCCACTAGTATGTCCCGTGAATCCGAATTTTTCCCGCGCTTTTTCAAAATCCAAGATGGCGGAAAAACCTGCAGTACGGTGACGCCCCCACAAAAGATGGGTGGCGAAAGTTGGAACTAATGCCAGAACTTCTTCCAAAACTTAAAGAAACCTTAGGAATAGGAGTGGAGATAGTGCCGGGATTAATGAATAATGCATATGTATGATTAAACTGTTTCTATTGAAAAAATCGTACGAAAATATACAATTTACAATAGTATTTCTATAAATTTAACAACAATTGCCTTAAGTACTACTTACATATATGATTTTACAATATATTTATAATAATATTTGTATAGATTCAATAAAAGTGCCCTTAGATACTTATTTTACTTAAATCCTACTTATCTATATGATTCTACAATATACTTGTAATGATATTTATATAAATTCGGAAAAAGTAGGCTTAGATATTATTCAGGCTTATAAAATATTGTAACTTATATGCCGCAAATAATTCCCTCCTCTGTCACTTGCAAGTTTTCCGTACAGTCTTCAAAACTTCATAAAGGTTTCATAAGTTTGTCGCCGAAATTTTGATTACCGGTGGTATACGATAGACGTGTGTAATAATTTGCAGTAGTCCTTTGCCGGATTCGATCTGTTGTTATTACATGTGGATTACGGGACAATGAACGGTACTGAAATGGCTTGCGTCAGTAACCATTTGAAACGTGATCCTTTATCGCTGTTGCTCGTACAACTCGCGAGCTCGGTCGAATGTTGCTCGTGCAACTGTCGAATTGGGACTGACGCTTGTGCGTGTTCCCGTGAAGAAATTAGATAATAACCCCAGCAACCATGGCAGTTTCTACAGATACTACTACAGCCCAAGTTTAAAAGACGTAGGCAGTAGTTAGTTTCTGTAGAAACCTGTTGAACCAGACAACTATAATTAGTATAAGATTGTACACTGTTTATGCAGTTATATTTAAGACAACTCGATGAAATGAAGCTTATATTAACTGACGCATGTTTATAGGAATATACATATGTATACATATAAATTCTAATGATATAAAAGTTTGAAATACAATACGATGCGGTACGGTACAATACGTCTATTCGAATCAATTGCTCCCTTGCGACTACAACATCATGCTATCCGCGTAAAAAAGTGTTAAAGTTCCATTTATATCATTGTCCTGTGAATATATTCATACTGCCATTGGCATTCATATTCCAATCAATGAATTTACAGAATACGGAAAAGGAATCTAAAGTAATTTTCAGTAGTTCCATACATCTTTATCTCGAATAATTTTCTAATACATTCAAAGTACTAGACATTTTTACACTTTGAATCTCATATCGATTTCTAAAATAATCCTAGTTCGATATAATATAGAACGTGGTTTTATGAGATAGATTCGAAGTTCGCAGTCATTAGCTCGATATTGTCTTCAGTTTACAGTACTTTACCGATGACAATACCGATTGCCCAGGCCTCACCACGAGGAGGTTGCTGCGAGTGGAGGCCCAAGGCAAGTAGATGGAATCACAAGTTCTACATCTACCCACCTTTCACAATAAACCTTATAAATAACTTAAATCTTAACTATATAATACTACCGGTACTAAAATCCCTCGGCGGATGACTTCTTTCTTGAGCCCAAACCTATAAAAACCGTGGTACATCGTGTAGACGGCTAGGTCAATAAACTAGATGTGAAAAACACAATTTCGCAACAGTACGTATAATCATATTACATATACATATAAGTATAGAGAGACTACGGTGACACGGAGCCCCCGGTGGAGGCGCCATAGACCCTGCGCGATGAGAGCGTGGGGTCACGGAGCCCCCAGTGGAGGCGCCATCGACCCTGCACGGAGGCCTCGGTGGAGGCGCCATTGATCACGTGGGGTGAGAGCGCGGGGTCACGGAGCCCCCGGTGGTGGCGCCATAGACCCTGCACGGTGGCCCCTGTTGGAGCGCCTTTGATCACGTGGGTTGAGAGCGTGGGGTCACGGAGCCCCCGGTGGAGGCGGCATAGACCCTGCACGGAGCCCTCGGTGGATGCGCCGGTAAGCGTGGTAGCTTGGTAAGTGGGGTTATAACTATGTGGGATGTGTCTGAGTGTCGCTACATCAATGACAATCGGCCAATCGGCTGTTCTATTATGGAAACAGCTGATATAAATAAAAGTGTCAAACTGTGTTTGAAAAATATTATCATTTACTATGCGTTCATTTTATTATGAGTGTCATAAAAATCGTTCAATAATTGTTGTTCAAGAAGAGAATGTTTTGTCGTAACAGTGATTCCCAAAGTAATGATGGTTCCAATGAATTGCGATTTATTATATACATCTGCAGCTTTGTTTTTCTTAGACTGTGGCACCTGTGAAGTGTTGTAGAATTGTGTCATCGTAAATTAACAATGGCAGATAGTGAGAAAGCTTTCACTTGTTCTTCGTCTGGTTGTACAATGGTAAACATACTTTTCGTACATTTTAGTGTACATTATTTGTCCTCGTGCAATAGTCTGAAATAATGTTAAATATACTTAAGTATAAGTTTCCCAAATTTTAAATAATTGTTGCTTTTCTTTTACAGAGTTTCACAAATGAAGATCAATTAACAGTACATAAAAAGAAGCACGATATGATATTAAATCTGGGTAGTGGTTCTAAGAATCCTGGCTTTGTAGGTAGGGAATATAGTCTCTCAATGGTTGTCAAAAAAAAAAACAGCTACAGAAAATAATTAATGTACTCGCGAAAAACAGCAGATCAAACTCCTACTCCAACAAGGTTTATCAGAAACTGTGAAGAGGTTGGCCTCTTTCAAGATCTACAGAATGTAAATCCTTTTGAAGAAACGTTTAGGAGAGCCGTGGAATCAGGAAACACTGGTACACTTTCAGTAACAGAGGTGAAAGAAAAAGGGCAGTACAATAAATCTAGATATTTTACCAATGTCCTTATCTTTAATTTAAAACCATTTGTTTAGGCTGGAATTACAGATGACACACTGCACACCCCTCATATATTTCCTCATATAGCAGATGTACTGTCCGGTAGCAATCAAATTCTTTCAGAAAGCAGTGTTCACGACTGCTCTGGCAGCATCTCAATCACAGAGAAAAGTACAGAAAGAAATGTTATCATTGATGCAGAAGTCTGCTCGAGTGTCAAGCTTACAGGAACACAGGAACAGGATCTACTGAAGGACAAACTAACAGGAGAAAAAAATGAAACACTTGCTGAAAATATTATTAACGAAGTTACGGACACACCGATATTATCAAGGGTTTTAGGAGAACAGCCCAGTCCACAATTGTAAACTAATTATTAACTTTCAAGTTTACCATATATACGATTAAATGTGAAATAACTTTTATATTTTGTTAGATCAATAAACGGAGAAGAGGTACAGCTCCTCTTGAAGACTGCCGATGGTAAACTAGTGCAACTGTCGGCGATACCAATATGCGATTCTACTAATATAATTGCTGCGCCATCGTTATTGAAAGAGCAAACTGTTGTAATAAAGACTGAACCTTCTTTACAATGTGTTACGAAAGTGGCGCCTAAGAAGCCACTGGTTTCTTCACTGTCCTTGACAAAATTGGTATTTAATATTCCTTAGACACTTTTCGATTACTTTCTAGGTGTGATCAGTTTTCAAACAGTTTGTTCCACGTATGATTCTAGAAATTAAAGCAGGCGCTAACCAAAAGTACAGTCTCTCAATCTCAAAAATCTGGAGATAACTCTGGGAGAAATGAATTAAATACCTCGAAGAAGCAAATCCGAAGTAGAACAGTCGAAGATCAGATAAAAAAGAGAGAGATTCTTGAACGAAATCGTGCGAGCTCGATGAGGGCCAGAGCGAAACGCAAAGCATGGATACAACAGCTCGAGAGAACGGTCGCAAACGTAAATGAGACCAATGTGGCTCTACAAATGGAAATAAAGGTCTTACGTACGGAAGTAGCCAAGTTGAAGACCATTCTATTGGCTCATAAAGATTGCCCTGTTACAAAAGCGATGCAGAAAGGTAATTAAAGTAAATGTGACTTATCTGACTAATTGGCTATATAGTGTTTTTATGACATTGTATTTTTGTATAGTAAATGGGATAGTACTTGGTTCAAAATTAATATCGTTAAATTCAGATCTGACTACTAACCCGACGACTCCAATTGGAATCTCGCTGAAGAGAACGTCAATGTCGTCTACAGAAGTGCCTATTCTGCCCAAGAAAAAGTTATCTCTAGCACCTGTAAAGCACCCGATAATTTTCCCCAGAGTGGATTGCAGCGCGAATTTAACGATACCGAACGCGACCTTGATTAAATCTGTGCCTACTCTCAAGATCATGGGAGTCGGTCAGCTTTTAGCGGAAAAGGAAGAGACAAAGCAAATTTTAATCGTACAAAGTCCACAAAGAGAGGTGGAAAATTCTCCTAGACAAATTATACAAATAAATCCCAATTATGATATAGATCACGGTTCGACGAAGACCTTAAATACCTGAAACTGGTGTATCCATCTGTTGACTATTTCCAATATTTGCTCAATTCTTAAATTATTGTTAAATGTATTTTCTTTCGACCGAAAGAAATGCGCAGTAGTATGGGTGGATGTGTATTGTATGCCTGTGTAATGAATATTTTTTTATTTATTTTACTGTAATAAAGAAAAGTATTTTGTAAGGGCGTGTATTTCTGTTTTCACCTTATCGAATGGTAGTAAATAAGGAACACATACTACGACATATTCAATGCACGTTTATTTCTTCATCAGCTCGTAAAGTAATTATTCTAACTTTTGTGTCGCAAGTATATTTTAGAATTGTTTCTTTAGTCGTGTTCCGGTCAATCCCACGATGATTCTGTGACCCGCGGGCCCTTATCAGTTCTCCGTCCAGTCGTCTAAAAACTCTACACCGGACAGGAGAATGATAAGGGACTTTGGGCACGACTTGTACGCTTCCAGTCAGAGACTATTCAAAGTTTCGGTTACGTCTATGATCTACATAATTTTCTTCATCGTAGACTAACTTACAACATTGCGTTAGACTTGTACCGTTTAAAATCAACTTTATCTTAACTTGATTTTTGTAAGCAAACGTCTGTATTCTTATATTGCATAATATATTCCACACACAGCTGGAACTTATGATTGTACCCGATTACAGAACACGCAGCGAGGAATCTCGGGTTTTGCCAGCAAGTCTGGATAGCCCTCGAAGACCGGATATACCGGTGAAAGATATCGACCGGGCGCGTTAAAGAAACGTCTGCGTTTCGACAAACAAGATTTCCGTCCCTTGAGTCACGGTCGTGATTCACCGCGTCAAAGTACAACGGGCCAAGCGAGATGTGACACGAATTATCGGATACTCGGCAAACACCCAACGGTTTTCCTATACCGATAACGAGGACCGATAACAAAATAGAATCCCCTTTATACGTTTCCAGCAATAATTCATGGAACAGCCGCATACATTCGGCTGTAGCAGCAAACGAAAAATCTGTCTAGATTAAAAACGTTGCATTAACCACCAAATCAATGATTACTTAAAAACAAAATGTATTTGAATCGTATTTCGTCCAATCTTACCGAATTCAACGAACCTTTGTGGTCAGAACATTAATTCGTTTAGTATCTCACATTAAGAAATCATATATTAATTTCAATCCCTAAGCGTACATATGTAAACCTCACATGGTTGACATGGCCGTAAATGTGGTAATGAATTTGTCTACGGTGAACCGCCTAGTAAATCTCAAGTATGAAACGTCCAAGATGCATGGGACGTTCTTGGAACCCTTCCACTTTTCTGCTTCACACTTCCAAGCTTCGGGTAAAAATAGATCGCGGCGCCCCACGCGACCGCCCGACTTATACACGGCCCTGAATCGAGAGCTCGCGTGGCTATTATACAACAACGCCATCCCTAACCTTGGACCAGACCGGCCAGTTTCTTTAGCTTTTCAATCATTACAGGGAATCTCGTATCATGGAGCGGTTCTTGCGACGTGTCGGTTCCGCGGAAAAAAACCTCAGCCCGATGGACATCGCAACTGCCACGTGCGCGTATACTTCCACCGCATTAGGAGCACTTCAGAATCCCCTCGAAGCGGTCTACTTTTTACTGAAAAGTGAATTATATAAAGTTAGAACGGGTTTGATTAGAAAAACGTTTTCACCAATCAACAATTCAAAGTCCACTTCAAATTCTCCACTATAATCCTCGAAATCCAAGTCTGATCTCCTTGTACAACGGCCCTCGAACCCTCTTTTCTCAAAATGGCGCCCTAGATTCCCGATTCACGGCATTTCTCTCTTTATCGCCTCAGATCAGGCGACTAAAACAATTTCGAATCCTTTCTCGCCACCGACCATCTTTTGTTTTAATTTACAATTATAGATTTCCTAAATATCGAGAAAAAAAAATTAATTATCGCATGTATGTTTCGCGGGTAATGCTAAGAAAGGTTTAAATACTTAAGAAATAACGACGTAACGAGTTTGTATTCACGATCTAATGTCAGTGGAAACAGCGATCCGTGGTTTAATTGATACCGATCTGACCGAACGTCCTTTCACAACGGCCGTGAATTCAGGGATCACTGATCAGACGCGAATGTAACCCAGTTCGTCCGCCTGAGGGTCTTCTATTTACTCGATTTTAAAGAATTCACTCGATGCTGTGGACTGTTTGTGCCAGGCTTAAATTAATCTGAAAGTCTCAAGGTTTCTCAGTGGATCTCGATTTCTTAGATAAGTAAACGTTATCGGGCCATATAAGCTCTTGTTACTTATCGTTCTCGCGCGAGGTCTTTGTAATTTGTAAGCAGCACAGCCTGTTCAGCGAGACGGTCTTGGACACTGAAATCTTCATAAATAGACGCGAAACATTTTTTTTCTACGACATTCTAACGTGTATGTATACCAAGGCTCGTGGAAGCATACAGAAACGGACACGAAGGTTAAACGTATTACAGCTCTCGGAATGCGACAGAAGATACACGTGGCTCACTGTGAGGCCACCAATGCAACAATGTCAGTAGGGACAGAGCCAGAAGGAACGTTAACTAATACGTATATACACAGACACACACAATGTATCGAGGCTATCCGAGGAACGAACGAATTTAAAATAAACTACGGAAGCTCCAGATATCGTATCGTGGTCAAAATGCTCGAGCTCGTAATCGTTTAACCTTCGCCGCTATCGTGCGATCGGTCGACTAAATTACAAAAGAACGTGCCCGGTCGGTACGCGGAGAAACGATGTACGGAAACTACTAGATCCTTCTTCGAATTTTACGAGTGAACGGTCCCTTCGTTTCAGAATTCAACATCGTACTTGATACCACAGCAATTTTCAGCCATTAATCGTCGTTTTAGCAAGTTTTTAAAGAATCCTGGAAGAAAGTCTCACAAAACGTGTCCATTTCACGCAGACTACGAGCATGGCTAGACTATCCCCAGTCAACTAAAGCAATTATTGAGATGTTAATATTATTCTGTGATAGACTTTGCATTACTTTACAGTGATAGAACAATGAATCTAACGCGATCGGTGTCGACAAATTCAGACATCAAGTCAGTGTGACTACAATCCTGAGAGTGGTGTCTGAGGAGCCAATATTCGAATCGATAGAACGTACGTTCCTTCCGGGTGCTATACGTTTCGATCAGAATTTCCTCGGTTCAAGGAGAAGGTGGCGTCGAGGAAACGTTCTCCTTGGAAACAGTCTTGTGCGTCGTGTAAACCTAGCCATGCTTTACAAACCGCGATAAGAAGGTTCGTGCGCGCGCACGTTCATGCACATCCGTGTTAGAGGATACACCAGAGGACCGAGGGAGACGGACCCGCGCGATTTTACGGTCCTGGCTGAGACAATACGCGGTCCCCGATAGCCTTGAGACACGTCTGCTTCCTTTTATTTTTACATCTGACCCGAGAGACAACGACACTCGCGCTCGCCAGCCGGCTTTCCCCTCGCGAGTGGATCGTCCGAGAGCCCACTGCTACCAGAAACGACCTCCCCCGATTGGCTGACACACACGCGCGCGAATCTCTAAACTACTGCTGGTGTGTACCTCGTGCGTTGCACTAATGTGATCGAGTTTCCAGAATAATATGTACACTGATTCCCTTTGTCAGTTTGCTGCCGAAAGTTTCGACCGATAAGCACGACGCACTCAGCGAGATTAAAACTTGTCCTCTAATGACTTGGAAGAAAGTGTCTATGAAGTTGCGAGAGTAATGCTAACGAGGGGTTAAATTCTCCAGGAATCTTGATGTAAGGATGTTGTGTCCGCGATCTAATGTCGTTGTAACTACGATTCCAGACACTTTGACTTCCGGTTTGTTAGAACTCGCCAAAGACACTCATGAATCCCTCTTGAGTTCCGTTACTAGAGCTGCGTACAAGGGAGTGAAAATTCAGTGAAAACCGTTTGAAAGTAAATTAATCTATAAAAGAATATATAGAACACTCTCGATCAAGTGTACAATTTCCAAGAAACTATTCTGACGGTGTAACTACACGCACTTTTGAGTCAAGTCCGATCACTCGCGACATTTCTAGCCTCCATCCGGGCGGAGTGGTCTTTGACCGGTCACATGGCGCGAACCGAAGCGGCCCTCGACCGATCGATCTGCGTCCAAAATACCCTCAGTGTCTGCTCACTCTATCTCCCTCTGCTTCGTAATGTCTGGCCGGCGTAGCGACACACGTTTCCTTTCTGGTCGAGAATCCCTGCGCGAATATCTCATCTCTGGAAAACGGTACACGCACTGGCATCCGAAGGAAAACCAAGAAAGTTGCACACAACTCTCCTTAAGGTAGGTTTTCACGTTGTTCCATTCCGTTGTGCCTGGAACGTTAATGTAACAGAAGCTGGGATTGATCGTAGCTCGTACATCTCTGTGGTCCTTGGGTACGTAACGTCGGTTCACAGAAACACCCAACACGATAAGTGTCTCGCGCACGACTGAACCATACGACGATCGTACACGAACGTTTCAGCCCGGTCAGTCTCGTCGACGATACGGGACGAACGGAGGGGAAGAGGAGAAAAGATGTGAACGTATTACCGTCTCGGTCTCTCTCGTCTGTTCGTCTACCGCGTCTGTCGCGCGTGCACGCAGTGCGCCATCTTTGAATTTCCCTCTCTTTCTTCCCCTACGCTTTCGCCCCCTCCTGATCCGCGCAAGCTCCATGGAATTCCCCTCTCGTGGAACGCGCGGTTCGTCAGGTTCGTCTCTCTTCTCCACGCGTTCGCGAACACGCTTTCGAAAGCACTCTGTGGTTACTTTCGGTCACGATCCCTTCTACTTCCTTTCTCTCTTTCTCCACACGGAAGATCGTTCTTTATCTTGCGGACTGGGTGGTTGTTCGACGAAAAGAGAGATGGTGTATCAGGGGGACCAGAAATGATACACGATGTGTGTATAAACCTTTATTGGATATATCCTCCCACCCCTATTTATAACGTTTGGCAGAATTTTTCTAT